TGCGCGCACGCACAGCCGATGTGAAAACCATCGATGCGAGAGACGGGCGATCGTTTCACGGAGACTTTAGGAGATCGGAGAATTGAAAAGCCGGCTTCACACGAGACGTGAAATATATGGCGTTTTCGATTTGCTGACTCGACCCGGCTCAGGGTTATACATAGTATATGTATGTACCATGATGTATATTCAATTCATGTGTATAAAGTGTATATGCAGTGCACATACAGGATTATTTGCACTTCACGGAACGTATACGTATGTACAGGAAATATCCAATGTTACGGATATTATATTCAATAATTCATTTACAAATTAAGGTATTATTGCGTTCGAATATGTATTTACGCTACAAGCTGTGCTAAAATACATAAATTGATAAAGAATTTACTTCGAGAGGCTGAAAACTGATAATCACGTTCACTTGATTCTAACGTTTTTTTTTTTTTGGTATATGTTATATCGGGTGGATATGCATATTTCATCGATCGCACGCTACTGTCGTATGCATAAAAGGAACGACGTCTGCATAAATAAAATCGCGCGATTTTGCCTTTGAATATATTTGACTTCTGCACTTTGCAGCGGTAATTTCGCTCGCTGATAACCGTGAGCTGAAATGGAGAATGAATTTTTTTTCCACCGAGCCCGGGGCTCTCACTGTAGCTCGCATGAGAAATTCCGGGCTTCCGGAAGTAAAACGACGAACATTTATGCATGCTCGTATCTGATACAAAGAGCACTTTGAGATACAAGTGGCATTTGGAAAAAAGGACACCCTCACTCGAAGCTCCGTAAAATTTGAGGACTCTAAGTGCTATCATCTTACTAAGTGCAATGCCGCCGCCGGTGCAGCGGCGACTACGTTGCGACGCTTGTTCTCTTCTCCCCCCTCCCCTCCGCCCCTCCTTCTGCCAGCTCCTTAACGCGAGTAAGTACGTGCTTTTATTTGCTCGCGAATGCAATTACTCGTCGCGAAAAGTAGCGCCTAATGGCGCAACCTGCGGAAGGCCGATTTTTCTTTCGGCTCTTTTTTATGAATTTTATGATTTCGTCTCTTTTTCGATGGAATCATGGCGGTAGTCACGTGGTCAACATCGCGGGTGCATAGCGGCCCAATTTATAACTAAAAATCACGACGTACGTGTCCGACGAAATGACGCGTTAATTAACGACGCTTCTCGCATTACGACACGATTAAAAGAAACCGGCCAATTAAGTATGAACGCAGCATGTATTCAGTGCGCGCGATTTTTGCTTTCTTTTTTAACAATTATCAAGCGGAGTGGTTGCTAATAATTCCGATAATTATTATCCGTGTATTCACTTTCCCATTTTTATTTTCATTTGGCGAATAACGACGTCAAATTCTCACGAAGTGACACGTCACTTCGTCCAACGCTCCGGTCGGAAGTTTAAACGTCTCATTCGCGACGTTTAATGAAACGTCGAGTTCGAAGTTTCAAATTTTTATCTACGCCGCGCACACGCTCGAATTTATGTATGCGACGCGAACATCACATCGCCGACAGTGACGAATAGCAAGAGATTAACCATCGCGACGTCCAAACTTCGCTCGTAAATCTTGACGCCCCCCTCCAGTTATTAGAAAACGCGATCTGTCACACGCGATGAATACGAACGTCCTATTCCGTTGTTTCAATCGAAACGTCGAAACCCGATCGTGAGAAGCAGCGAAATCTGACGATTCGGCGGCGCTTCTCGACGGTGCCTCTGCGGATTCGGAAAAAATCACAAATACAGTATCAAAATATTTTATGGAAAATATGAGTTAAGTGAAATATTTTACTCATCTCAAACGCTAAATGTACCTTATGAACTTTATCAAAAGTTATCAAAAATTTGTTATTCCTGCGCTTTTTTTTTCTAAATTATCATTTTACAGTTAGTCCAAAATACTAAATAATTTACTGTAATATGCTGAGTAAGTTATTGTCAGATTGGATGGGTTATTTTCATCTCTAGTCGAAAGTGTAAGAATCTGAACGGATGCCTCTCGTTCGCCAAAAAAAAAAAAAAGAACCGGCTCGAGCACTGTATCGAACCAACGCGCGCGAATTTCCGACGATTTAAAAGCTGACGAATCTGGTGCGTTTAGCGGGCGAATAAAAAGTCGGCGATGGTCGAGCTGACTCCGACGCTTTTCAATTAGACTAGCCTGTCGTACCGGAGAATCGAATAGTCTCCGCAAGGAAAGGTCGGCGGGGGTCAGCCAGTTAACTCGCAGCGCGCGGTTCTGCACGACCGTCGTCGTAAAACCGGCGCGTACGATGCAGAACCGGCGAGTTAATAATGCCATAGGTGGAGGAAGCATAAAGCTCTGTCGTGCGGCGCGCGGAAAGCTCCGGAGGGCGACGATAAAGCACGGCGACATACGCGTCGATTGATGTTCCTTCGACTGTAACACGGAGCCAATATGAGAGACATATCGAGATATACGTCCCGTCGAATCTCTTTCTTTTCCCTTCGGTGAACCATCATTTTCGTGAGAATCAACGTCTTCGCGACTTCAAAAGGTGGAGGCCGGTTGTTTCCGGTGAGAACAGAGAGAAAGATATTTGTGTTCTCTCGCGAAGACGATCCTTTTTTTTTTTTTAATCTTTTCCTATCTTCTTTACAAAGATAACAGCATCACGATTGATATATTAATAGAATAAATTTTAATCATTATTGTGATATATTGTTTATAATAATATGATCGTAACGAATAACGAAATGTAAAGTACGGAAACGTAATATTTGGGAATAATTATACCGGTCTGTTTTGCATATCTCTTGGGAGATTTATGTACATAATTTTCGCACGGCAAGAGTGATTTTCTTGTGATTTTAAGCTTGGTTCTAAGGATTGAACGGAGATTAAAGAGCAAGTCTGCGAAACTTGAAGGCCGCGTTATTGACTGAGTTCGGTAAGAACAGAAACATGCGGAGGAATTAACGTCAGATAAGGCATACGAGAGCCTTCGTAGGTGAGCTACGGTTCGCTTCGGCTCATCTTCGCGGCTGTTTCCCTCAAACATTTTTTACGTAATCATAACCGCCGCGTCGGAGGCGTTTGCAATGACCGCAAAACTGCTTCCCATCGGCGCGCGCGGCGAGATTCGCGACTGGCCGAGTATGATTGCGCTTTGTTCGCAATCTTGATCTCGCCCATGTAAGAAAGGCGTCGTGCCATCTCTTGAGCGGGGAGAACGAAGATGATCTCGATAAAACGATCGCGTCTCCGCCATAAAGGCGCGAAAAATATGGGAGTGTTCCACGCATATTCTCGTCGCACACGGTCCACATTGTCGCGCAAATTGCGTTTGACAGGGGAAAAGAGATGATGATTACCAGCGGTAATATAAACTTGATATTTGCACGCTCTCGACACGTGTGTCGCTTTTTCAAAATTCATCGCTCTCCACTGATTACCTGCTTATCATTTAAACAATTTCATTATACATTCTGATAGACGGTACGTTCACTACATTAATTTGTCTCGTTGAAAATGGATTTATGCTGGCAAATTAATTGTTATTTCATCTTGTTATTATTGCACTTTGCGCGCACATGTTATACATACAAACGCATTAATTTGTTAAATCGATAACAGCGAGCGTTTCCAGAGGGTTCCTTCCGTCAAATACATCGCAAATATTCCATTTCATTATGGAGTAGGTATCTCCGTAACTAACTTGGTTGTGTCTCGAATTGGGTCAGCTGGATATAACTTTCATCTACTTGTTTATCGGTCTCTTTATCAAGATTTATTTTAACAAAAAAGTTACAAGTTAGTTTACAGTATTACCAACCTCTAATTAAAGGAGATATTTCGACGTATCTAACGGAACGCATTCAGAGTCGGCGCGCGGAGATCGAGTTCTGATCGCATGCGGCCGCGAATATTGTCACTGTACGCGCGTGTATCGATTTCACCGCGACATATTTCAAACCGCGCGTTTGCGCCCAACAAGAAGAGAGGCGTCTCGGGGGCATCCTCGATTTCTCAAGCCCGACGCGCTGATGAACAGCGCGCCAGGTAATTATTACCGGTCCGCGCGCCGGCCGTCTCACCGGCGTTCCCGCCGTTAACGTTGAAATCCCATCGCGCCTCTAGAAAACGTTACAGCCGCCGCCACCACGAGTATTAGCTTACTTACCCTGACGACGGCGACGAGGACTCATGGAAGGTCGCGGTCCGCGAATATCCTTCTTTTTATTACGGGGATCAGCGCGGTGAGCCTCTTCACAATGGTGAGGTGCGGTGAAATATCGGTGAATGCGGAGTGTACGTAAAACCCCGAGAATCTCGTATCAAATATCGCGTGTTGCGTGGCTTGGGAGCGGGAACTTAACTCCGGGGAGACCGGAGTTTTCCACATTGCCCGCATGCAACGTCCCAAGGACGCTTTTTCTGCGTATCATCGTGAACGTAGCGATAAAAAGCTAAATTCGGGGGTGGAGAAGCGCTGCAAGTTATTTTCGCTTTTCGCGTCGCCCTTTGTGCATATACGCGCGCTCCCAAGCCGAAATATCGCGGTGTACCTTGATATATTGCGATTGGTCGCTTGCTGGTGTTCTCTTCATGTTGAAGAAACTTGAAAAAGAAAAAGAAGAGCGTTCGTTCAAGAATCATCTAATACCCGATTATCTCGATATTTCACTTGCGTTTAATCCGTATTTTTAATTTCCGTCTCATGTGAACTCTTCATAAACTCAGACACCGGTTAACAGAACAACCGGATTTTCTCTTGCGTGGTTCAATAACAGTTCTGTCCTGTTCACTGATAATTCTGTGACGAAATTCGGTACTTTACAGCCGAAAAATATGCGTATGTCGGTTTATCACACCTATCTCCATTTCTTTGCTTTCCCTCTACTTATGATCTGTGGCTTCAGAGGCTTTGTTCCAGAGCGTTGAATAAACAAAGCTTTCATAATAATAATAATAATAATTCTCTCGCTGTTGTCTCACTAACACCTGCGTATGATTTCAGACCGCGCTGCACACCGGGGCTGGCAGTCAACAGCAGCAACAGCAGCAGTTATTGGAGCCCAGAATGGCACAGTTGGAGACCTTGGAGGCCAAGGTAATACGAGAGACCCTCGAAGCCCGCAATTTTCCCGGGAAAGTCCCCCGGAAAGACGAGACAAGTCGGTATTACCGTGCGAGAGATTCAGGTCGAGCGTCCAGGTAGTGAGCGGCGCGACGCGAGGAATGCACGCGATAGGAAGTCATCCCGCGTCCGCGTGCCTCCTCCTCCCTCCGCCCTGCGTTTTTCGAGAATCCCTTTTTTCTTCCTTTTCTCGAGCCTGTCTCCTCGCCCGACTGGCCGGCTGACGGAGCGCGCCGCGGCCGTATGGGAGCCGTTTTTAGTGGTACCCTCGGAGGAAACCGAAGGCGATGTTTCGCGGTTATTGGCGGGTCCGTGTTATAGCCCGCCGGCTTCTTAAGCCTGTCCGACCGGTGATTTATATGCAGATGCGTGAACCGAAACTCCGTTTCATCCGGGGGTCCTCGACGGGTCCTCGGCGGGCTCTTGGGGAGGCGAGAGGGGAACCGGGCCCCACGGGTGTACCATTAAAATTGCCCCGGCGCTCGCTCGCTCGCGCGGATGTCCAGTGGCGCAGGATCGTCGCAAGAACTCGCGGGACTCTCTCTCCCCCCGGCTCGTTTTTCGACAATCACCGGGCCCCACCCTTTTTGCGTCGTTTAAGCCGTCGGATTCCTCACGCCTGATTGCAGGGGCGGGGAAGAGAGGAAGAGAGATCGGGGGAGGCTGAAATTGAAAATTACGCGAGGCCGCGACGCCCCGTTAACTCGACGAACTGTCGTCTAGCGCATAGCGCTACCCTCTCATTGCCGATTCGGCGATTTTCCGAGCGCGTTTCCAGTTGAACTTGCGCCCGAAACTTGACGCGTTGCACCGACCTCGTCGGTCTATCCGTCGCTGAGCGTGCTCTGAGGCGCGCGCGAGCAAATATTTACGCGCGAAACGAAGTCGTGCGTCGGCGACTAATTTATCTGACGGGCGCGATAACCGCGAGCATACACGGGAATTATCGATTGCGTTTCCGCTTAATAGCAGCGTTGCGATGACGGAGCGCCATGCGTAGTTCGAGTTAATAAGCGGCCGCGCTACCAGCGGTTAAACTCAGCTTTAATTATCCTTCGCACAAGGATCCCTCGTAATCACGTCTCGATCGCCACGGGCGCAGCAGTAGTTGAAATAATACCGTGCGCTAATCAGCATAAGTACAATTGCCCTCGTCGTGTAATAGAACGTAATGCGACGTTATCAATCACGTCACGTCCAACAAGTATAAATCGGCATCGAGCGTTTCAATCGTCCTACCGCTTTATCAAACGACGATGATATCGTTCGGTAAGATACACACACACACACACATGCGGTCACGTCAATGTGATATAATTCGCGAATCCGAACGTCAGTCGAAATTTTATTTCGCGATCGAACGCAACTGATCATTATCGCGGCCCCGCGGACGCACAGATACGTGTAATTAAATCCTCAAATATTAAAGTGCATCTTCGTCGCGTGATATATAACGGCTGTTTCATATCCGTTGCGATGCACGCGCCCTCACGAGGCTCCGATTTATCGCGGCTCCGGAGGATCCGCGCTGAAAATAGATTCCTCGTAATAACGGACGCGTCCACGCGGATTGATCGGTGCAATTTCGGTATACGTTCATAAAATGTTCGTAGCAAGATTCCCACAAATTTTGTACTCGGCACTTTCATCGTTTATTCACATTCAATCCTCAATTACAATATGTGCTTGCGATCTGAATAAAAAAAATACTCGCGCGCATCTCAATAACATCTCATCGGTGAGGAACGTCGGAAGGTACGACGTAGGCGGACGTAAGAAAGAACGGCTAATATTTATCGCACGCACATTTACCGGCGTTTACGTGTTCCTCTTTGTTTGATTAGACCCGGTTAATATTTGCTCTCGTCGGTTGGCTCTTTCTCCGACGCAGAAGGACACGCTCGCTTGATCCGAGCGCGCCGCGATTCGCGCTCGCCCGCCGGGAAATACAGCCGGCCGACTCTCGGTTTTAATTTATAGCTTCGCCGCGTGTAATATCCGTAATCGCGGTGCTATCTGCTCCGTAATCTTATCCCGATACACGGGCGTTTCTAATCTCGTCCTTCGGCACGTCGCGCGCGGGGGTCGCGCGACGTTAACTCGGGACGAGCGAGTCCTCATTTACGCCCGACACACACGCCGTCCTCGTGCGTATCTCGAGGAATTGTATTTTGATAAATGCGTATCCGCCGGTCATTATTTATCATTCGTTCTCGCGTTGAGCCCTTCGCGCACCACGAGTGGATTCATCGGGATCCGAACAACAGACACGCCCCGTACCACCGAGAAGATGTCCGTCGAGAGACCGAGCGATCCGGTTTCCTAACCAGCGTCGTTAAGGCCCACGTCGGCCATATTTCCAGCCGCTCGAGTTATATACAATTCGACGTCGATCGATCCGTCGCGAAAGCGTCGGCCCAATTCTNGCGGGGCGTCGTGAATCGTCCCGCCGCTAATTGGACAAACGACAAACGCGAGGAAGAGCCCGAAGGGCAAATGTTGACGCTCTCGTGGACGGTGCGCGCCTACTTAAATGGCCCGTGATAAAAATCCATCTTGACACACTACACCTGAAAGAATCAGGTGTTACGCCTGAGAGATATTTACTTCGATCCAGGGAAAAATGCTTGTTTGGATTTACATGGTATATAGATTTGCGATAGTCTCGATTCTCGAAGAGTGATCTTCGACTCGAGCGCAGCGTCCGTAACGCGAACAGGTTTGCCCGCTTTAGAAGGATAAACGGAGAGAGGTAGAGCCCTCTTATTCCCGAAGAGCTTCTGACTTCTTTGATATGAAATCTATCGCGATATATTCACGCTCGAGCGGATCTCCGTGCGCGACGTCGCGTTTCGCGAACGAGGCGAGGAAAGACGAGGCGAGAGAGGCGCGCGCGTGCAGGGGCTTCGATATGAATAATGAAGAAGGATGCCGATCCGAGGAGCTCGCACCAACGTCGTCGGCAAGCATCCTTGTCAGGAGCCGAGGACGCGCCTAGTACGCTCGATCCGCCGAGCAAAAATCTTTTATACGGATACTCGCGTGTGCGCGCAAACAGAAGCGTCTTCGCACAATTTCTCCTCCCAATTTCATTATGAATCGCAGCGACAAAAATTCGACTCGAAAACGAGCGTTTAATATCGGCGAGAGATTTCCGTCGGATGGCGGAGCCGTGCCGTTTGAATGTGAATTTCGTGTATTCCGCAGCACGAGGAGATGTTAAAACAATCGTATATTTCGCCGAGGAAACACGAGGGGTGAAAAAAATATAGATTTTTATTCGCATCGTCGAAGTTTACGCCTCTGCGATACGATACGCGGGCGGTCGTGATAATTATTTTTTTTCTTCTTTTTTTTCATAATAACGTCGTGCGTTTGTTATTTTAACGAGCGGCCTCGCAAATATCGCCCATTGTTGGAGATGAAAGTAAATAAACGTCTATCGGGACGCAACGAGAAATCACCGCGGCGCCGATGAAAAATACGGATCTATTCACGACTGTTGATCTTATTCAAGTGTATATAGATATATTTAGATATGCGCTCAGCATCGTCTCCGGAGCGGATGATGGCGGGATCCGAGTTCCTCGAGAACGTGCGGCTTCGCGAACGGGCTCTCCGATCGCGCCCGTTGATTTCGAAATTTTTCGCCGCCGAAGAAGTTAGGTCATAATACGCCCTTGGGCCCAGACAGATCTGCCGAGCGAGATTGCGGTCTCGGGAGTCACTGGCCTTAAGCTGTCTGAGCGCCGATGTTTTCGACCGAGTCCTTTCTTCCTCCACCGGCTTTCTCTTTAAGTTATTGCCCTGAGAGAACGCTTCGCCGCGTGTAATCGCACCCGGCCTTTATTTTGCACACTGAAACCGATGAAAAACAGAGGCTTCCTCCTCGATAGATCCGATAGCTGTGGAGAATAATCGAAAATCGAAAATTTACGATACTTCCATTCTGTCCCAGCGAAATTCTCCGTGCGGAAAGGGATATCGATTATTACACTTGGCTAAATTAATTAACGACGCTGTTCGCGGAACAAAGTTGTAATTCGAATCAAATCGACTTTCTTGTCGGTACGCAAATAAAGGCGCCTGGAATCACGAGATATGCTAATCACCGCGCCATTGTCAATCATTGTACTTTCTTTTCCTAATAGTTTTACCATCAGCGTAGTATTATCACTTTTCCGTTCATGAGTTCCGATGATAGTACTATTGTTTCCCAAGAAATCTGTCGTTAAAACCAGACTCTCAGATTCAACCAGGAGACGACGAATGTTGCTGTTGCGATTCTTCTCTTTTCAACGAGAAGTACGATGTCGCGCGCACCGGCGGAGTCCGTCTTCTCGCGTGGCCACGCATCGCGGTTGTAACGATCGCGCGTCCGATCGCCGTGTCGCCGAGGAACGGTGAATTATCTCGGAAATGCCGCCCCCCTTCCATGCAAATTCCGCAATAAATTTCCGCTTCCTGCGTGTCCGCCGCCGCCGTTGTTTTTGTCGTCCCTTTGCCGCCGCGTACGCGCCGAGAAATTTGCGGAATGCCCCGGGCAGTTTCGCAGCCCATTCGTTTCCACTTCCGCGCCACTTGGAGAGAGAGAGAGAGAGAAAGGTGTTAGATGCGATCTGAAGGTAACACTCATACACAGCCGTGTCTCTATTATCTCGTTATTTAGAGGGCCATTATGGCGCCGCGTATTTCTCGCGCCGACCGCGGTCTCGCGAGGGAGGAGGTGTACGTGGCCGGCAGCGCGTTCTCCATCGCGGCTCTGCATCCCCGCGTTTGTCATTTCAATTTCCCGAGTAATGTCTACGCGTGGGCGGAAGAAAGATATCGGAGATAAATCGACACGTGGGGAGAACGTTAGTCGTTAGAGCGACAGCGGGACTGTGTTAACACATTCTCACTCAGTCACAGAGAATCACTCGTGTCTTGCTGGTCGATCATCGTTATCGATCACCTGTCCACGAGTTACCATT